TACTGCTCTCTCTGCCTCCAGGTTCAGCCCACCCACCCCAAGCCTCCATCCTCACTCAGTAGCCAGAATGAGCTTCATACACACACATGTGACGGTGCCAGTCATCAGCACAGAACTGTGCGGCCACCCCCCTCCTCCCTGGGAGGAGCCACAGGCTCCCTGAGCTACCCCCACCCCTCCACACACATCAGGACTCTCTCCCCAGCACAAAGGAGATCACACAGAATCTCTCAGTTCCTCCCAAATGCCCAGCTGTTTCTAGCTCCTGCTGTTTGCATTGCTTGACGTTGATCTGACATGATCTTCTTCTTTCTAAAGCTATCCACACTGGACCCCACTCCCACATTCAGGCAAACCACACCAGCACCTTGGGGCCTGCCCGGGGACCCGAGGCATGGAGAAGCAGACTGGATCCGTCTCCCACAGCCAGGCACACTGTACCAGTGCCTCGGGGCCCACCCGGGGACCTGGGGCATGGAGAAAGACCCCCCTCCAACAACCAGGCACACTATGCCAGTTCCTCAGGTTCTGCCCAGGGACCCAGGGCATGGATCCAGGGACTGGACCCTCCTCCCACAACCAGGAACACCACACCAGCACCTCAGGGCCTACCCAGGGACCTGAGGCATGGAGAAGGGGACCGGACACCCCTCCCACAACCAGGCATGCCTCACCAGCACCTCAGGGCCCACCCGGGGACTGAGGGCATGGAGAAAGAGACCAGATCCCCCTCCCACAACCAGGCACACTGCGCCAGTGCCTTGGGGCCCACCCGGTAACCAGAGGCATGGAGAAGGGGACCACACACTCCCCACAACCAGGCACACCACTGGCACCAAGGAGCACACCAAAAACCACCTCCATGTGGGTGCCCCACCACAGCCTCCACAATAACCATGGCTGCCGTGAAAGCAGCTAGACACCACAATCACCACGGAGATAGTCCTTCAACCACTGGAGTGCATTCACACAAGGAGAATCACCAGCAGAGAAACAGAAAAGAAGAGGATGTCTCTCTCCACAAAGCCCATTCCAGAGTGACAGAATACGATAACATTGGGGGACCTGATCACACCTCTCAGCATTGGACAGATCATCTAGGCAACAAATTAACAGAGTAACCGTTATTCTTTCAGAAGGAGAGAAGAAATCTAGGGTAATTAGAGTGGGGAGAGGGGAGAGGGGAGAGAGAGGATAATGGGGAGAGACTGGACAAGGGGTATAAAGAATAATTACGATTTGTAACTATATATGCTAGTAATATTGACTTGATCAACATTTCTCAATGTTCAACCCTCAAAATATGTATAATTGATTTTGATTCAATAAAGTTAAAATAATAATAATAATAAATTAAAATAAATAAACAAACAAACAAATAAATAAATAAAGCTAAGCCGTGCCCAACCTCAGGTCACAGCTGTCCCCTGGGTACCAGTTCACAGCCTGTCTCCCCACCCCCATGAGCCCCATCAGGAGAGGTGGGATACCATTTGGGTAAAAGTGGTGGGAAAAGAATCTTCACTGTAGTCCTACTTTCTGTGAGGATTCCTGAATGCTAGTGAAATTCACTTCAACAAGTTCTAGAAGAGATTCCAAATCCATTGCTGGGAGGAGCTTTGCTACACAAATGTGGTAGGGGCTTTGTACACGAATATTCATGGCAGCATTATTCACAATAGCCAAAAGGAAGTAGCAATCTATATGTCCTTTGATAGGTGAATGAAATAAGCAAAATGTGGCACATACATAAAATGGAATGTTATTCCTCCTTAAGAAGGAAGGAATTAGTGACACTGGCTCCAACATGAATGAACCTTGAGGACATTGTGCTGAGTGAAATAAGCCAGGCACAGTGTACAAATAATATACCATTCCACTTATATGAGGTACCTAGAGTAATCAAATCCATAGACACAGAAAGTAGAATGCTGGTTGCCAGGGTTGCATAGGAGGGGAAAAATGGGAATATATTATTTAATGGGTACAGAGCCTGGTTTTGCAGGATGAAAAGAGTTGTGAAGATGCATGGTGGTGACGGTTGCACAACAATGCAAATGTGCTTAATGAAAGTGGTTAAAATGAGGCTGGCCAGTTAGCTCAGTTGGTCAGAGCATGGTGTTACAACACCAAGGTCACGGGTTCAGATCCCCGTAACCAGCTAGATACCAAAAAAAAAAAAAAAAAAAAGTTTATAATGGTAAATTTTATGTGATATGTATGTGAGGGGTCAAATGTGTCCCCCCAAAATTCATGTGTTGGAAACTTGATCTTCATAATAACAGGGTGGGAAATCCAAGTGTGGTATTTGTCTTTTTGTCTTTTTTTCGTGACCGGCAACGGGATCGCAACCCTCGGTGTTGCCCCC